CTGTAGTTATCTCTCAGTCTGACAGGACAGAGCTCTCCCTTTCCTTGTTTTAGAAACAGCTTATATCCGTTAAGCTAACCAGATCCTAACAACAACAATGCAAATAGTGAGTTTGGTAGAAATATACTGTATAATAGCGAAGTTATTTAAGATGATGCTATATTTATTGAAGATTTTACATTATAAATATTCCCAAAAATTATTTAAACGCATATTCTTCCAAACTCAGCCCTTGAGTTGCCCCACCAGGAGACTATTGATGTGTGTGGTGAGTTTGGTAGTAATAAGCTGTATAATAGATTGAATATTATTGTATTCTCTTTTTTCGGAGTTGCACTTTGCAGACGGTCCCTGAGCACTCGTTTCTTCTCCGGCTGCGGATAGAGACCAATGTAATGTAGTGTCCAGCTCGGAGGACGGCGCATATTGGCTTTTTTTGATCAAAATGTGATTTTAGTTCGTTGTCAACCTTACCACGGTACTTAGGAGACGTCATTTTTGTCTGAATAACGTTTTGTTCATGAGTTATTGATCCGTGAAATCAGAATCTCCCAATATCGTTTAAACTTTACTGAACTAAGCCAGAAGACCGTCTCATTTCGTAGACTGCTCGGTTTGCTGTTCCTTCACTTTATTTTCATACATTTATTTTGGACGAAAACTTAGCGTGAGGAAAGGCAAGTGTGGCGTGAGTGCGTGAGATATGGGTTAATTGTCAATTAAAATATTGATTATAGAATTTTTTTTGCAGACCTGTAAATTCATGACATTATAAATAAATCCAGTCATAAAGATTTCCTGTTACGATTATTATTCATGGGGTGTGGAATTATACCATCTGTTTTATAACAGGCTAAATTATTAACCATGACATCTCTTCACTTACTATCTTCTACCCGCTGGATCAGAATGTGGTTTCATTGCAAACACTCCCTGGTAACAAAGAACACAGATTATCTCTGTTTATTTGGAATATAAAATAAACAGGAGGGCAGTGCCCATTGTAGTAAACTATGTCATCAGTGTGTCACTGTCCGCACGGATCACTTACTCATTTCTGTTCCTCCTCACCCTCACTGACTGTACCATCGACACCAGAATGTAATTGTTTTTTTCCTGAACACAAGTTTAAACATAAATAGTTTTAGTAATTCATGTAGGTCTTTTATTTCCCAACAGACAAGCACAACTACAGTATATATTGCTGTGGATGATGGTTTAAGCACAGTACAAATGCACTTCAAATACTGACATAACTCAAA